AAAAAAAAAAAAAAAAAAAAAAATCTAGGCCGGCCTGGAACTTGCCATCCTCCTACCTCTACCTCTGAAGTGTTGGGATTGCAGTTCAATGCTGCTGTTCCTGGCTATGTCTGCCTACTTTTTCAAAGGTTTATGTGTATTTTATCTTCACTAGGTGGCTAAACTCTTGGAAGTAGTTAGGAATGGATCATGGCCTGTATGGTCAGCATGGGGTGAAGGAGGTTTCGAGTTCTCCACTTGGACTTTCTCATTCTTTTTGAGACCTACTGCTTTCTGTTGCACAGGGTAGCCTTGAACTTGACCCTATGAACTCTTCCATCCAGTGCTAGATTCCAGGCCTGAACCATCAAGCTTGATTGAGTCTTACCTGGTAGAATCTCAGATCTAGGGCTGTTGAGTTGGCCACAGCTGCTGTGTCCTGGCTTCATTTTGAGGGAGTGTGATTCGCAGTAGATCTTGTGCTGGGTTCCATCCCAGCATCTGGTGGGGCACCAAATCGACAGTCACACGCACAGCTGTAGCAGCTGTGTTTATGCCTCTGGCTGTAAACGTCCACCTGTGCAGCTGCCTTTCTTCGAGTCTTGCCTTGGGCCAAGTGACTATCCGAGTGGGGCTCTGAGCCTGCAGGGAATTTTGTTTTCCTTTGGGTGCTGTAGTAGAACTTGGGGCTTTTTGTGTGTTAGGCAGCACTCTGCCAAACTCCAGTCTGAGCTTTGGAAAAACAGCCATTCCAGAGCCTTTTTCTTTAGTTTCCTGGAGCCTAGGCTTGCCTTAAATTCATTTTATAGCCTAGGCTGGCCTTGAACTCCTGAACCTCCTCCCTACGTCCTAAGAGCTGGGCTCACACGTATGCATCATCATTCCTGGGTTACTGGGTACTAGGATGGAACCCAGAATATGCATATTGGGCTAGCATTCTCAAGGCCCCAGCTCTCCAGAGCTAGAGTCCCTGTTGTACTGTAGTTAACTGTAACTGTAAGTATCGTTGGCATGGTATTGAACGTCTTTTCTAAGGGAAAACCCCTTTGCTAATATTAGTCCACTTACCCAGCTTCTGACCAAGAACAAACTAGGGTCTGCCAGTAGCTGGAGTAACCACGGTGCCTCTGGTCCAGCAGCCGCTGGGAATACTGAATCTACACTCTAGCTACCGAAAACTGAGCAACCAGACTTCAGGGCTGCTGGAATGGGGCAGAGTTGGCACAGGCCTGGCTCCTGTCCATGACGGTTAGACCTGTTCACCCTCCACTGTCCCCAAGCTTGGTCGCAGGCTACCACTTCTGTGGCTTTTCATTCTTCTAGTGGTCCCTGACCAGAGAGGTAAGGTAATCAGTAATCTGACAACTCTCTCAGACAAGTCCAAGAGAATTCTGTACTTCCAAACTTAGGTACACATTCTGGAAGTTGAGCGCTTTGAGATCTTGGCTTGCTTTGTTGTCGTGTCCTGTCTGTATCCCCATCCCCGTGGTGCTAGGGATGAAATCCAAGGCCACCTGAGCTGCATTCTCAGCTCACCATCTGATCTATCAGATTTCCTCTCCAGTGCCTCTGTAAGTGGGCATGCCTGATGCCCTAGACACCTCATTTTCCCCATTTTATCCCTGGCTGGTCCTCACAGTGCAGCCATGACCCATGCCGACATCGTTCATGCTGTGGCAGGCCCAGCTGGGAAAACAGTTGTAGGTCATACAGGAAAGACCCTGACTATGGCCTGTTCCCAATTTGCTTTCTTGTACTTTCTGCCCCTCTGCTTTGAGACAGGGTTTCCTGTAGTCCAAGCTAGCCTCAAACTCACAATGTATAACCGAAGATGACTTTGAGTTCTTGCTCCTCCTGCCCCTTCTGCTTCTCAGAGGTGAACGAAGTTGCTTATTTTATTTTTGTATCACTTTCTTTACTCAGGCTCAAAGACTTGGAAAGAGATGGTTTAACAGAAAAGGTAATTGCTCTTCCTTCAAATATTCACTTGTACATGTATGTGTGCCTGTGCATGTGTTCGCATATATATGGGTGCCCATATGCAGTCAGGTGCATGCATGTAGAGACCAGAGGTTGACGTCAGATGTTTTTCTTTATCACTGTCCACTGGAACTCATGGTTCAACCAGTCTTAAGTAGCCAAGCTTGGCCTAGGAATCCCCTTTCCTGCCTACTGAGTACTGGATTCTGCCAAGCTTTTATGCCGGTACAGGAGATCTGATCTCTGGTCTTCGTACTTGCATGACAAGCTATCGCCCCAGACCCTAGTTCATTTCTGAGGCAGGGTTTTGATCCATAACTTGGGCTGACCCTGAACTTAGTAGATAGTTAAACTGACCTCAGATTAAACTGGCAACCCTCCTTGTTTAAGCTTCCCGAGTATTGAGATCTCAGGCGTCCTACACTATGCCTAGCGTGATATTTTTTTTGGCTGAGCCAGGGCTGTCAGCACCCAGCCATTGGGATGGCCAGGTGCAGCTTATCTATGAGTTTGTTAATTGCTGTCTTGGGAGACTGGGGGTTCCTCATCTGTGTCCTTCCACAGGAGTGTGTGAAAGAGAAATTGAACCTGTTGCATGAATTCCTGCAAACAGAAATCAAGAGCCAGTTATATGACTTGGAAACCAAATTACATAAAGAAGAATTGTCTGAGGTAAGTTTGTTTCCCAGTTTTTAGGGAGGCAGAGGCTCCTGTTTGTCTCACTGTGATGTCTTCCTACTAAATATTTCTTTGTTGTAGGAGGGCTACCTGGCTAAAGTGAAATCCCTTTTAAATAAAGATTTGTCCTTGGAGAACGGAACTCACTCTCTCACTCGGAAAGCCAACGATTGTCCAGCCAACGGGAGCCGGCCAAGCCGGAAAGCAGAAATGGCAGATTCAAAACAATCCTCCAAGCCCAAGCCTCGGACACCCAGGAGAAGCAAGTGGGACAGTGAGGCCAGTTGTAAGGACACGTGGCATAGTGACTTACAGTTGTTTGCTTATTTTGGGTTTCTGGCTGTTTTGAGACAGTGCCTGTCTATAGCGTAGGCTGACCTTAAACTCTGCCCTCCTACTTCAGCCTCCTGAGTGCTGGGATGTTTCTACCTTGAGCCTATGAGCATGCACCGCATGCATGTATTTTAGTTGTGTCTGTTAGTTTCTGGCGCTGAGAAGGAAGCCTAAGGCCCTGTGAACACTTGAGAACATGCTGACATTCAGCTGCACCCTTATTCTCTGGTTAAGTTTAACTTTTCCTTCCCATATCTGTTGTCCTGTCTGTCTCTGTCTTTTGCAGTGCCAGGGATGAAACCTAAGACCTGCAGTGTGCTAGGGAAGGGCACATCTAGCAAGCCCCAGCTGTTCTGTTCTCTTTGGGGGGGGGGGGTGTTGATGGAGCCCAGAGCAATGTGCATGCTGCACAGGTTCTTTGTCACGGAGCTGCACCGAGCCTCTGGTTTATTTTCTGTGCACCTCTACCTTACCTTAGACTCTCATAGATGGACCCCACGTGAGGTTTCAGTTTACGGATTTTATGTTTATAATGATTTGACATGGTGCTTGGTCACCATTCTGGGCTTCCTTTCCCTGGGTTGTATGCTATCGTCAGGTACTGGACAATGGCAGCTCTAAGGGACTGTCTGTTGACATGTGCAAGCTGGTACGCAGTTTAGTCTAGATTGAAAGCCAAGGAGTGTATATTCGTGCAGCCCTTGGCTTCTGTAGTCACTTGTTCGCGTTGAAGAATGCCATGTCCTTTTTCTCGTTTGCTTTTAAACAGCTGAAGCTTCATCCAGCTCCATGGCTGTGAGAAGAATCACTAGGCAGACCACTATCACATCTCACTTCATGAAGGGGTCAGTATGTAATGAAGGGGCTATTAGCCATTTCTTGGGGTCTGGTAATTTTTGAAAATATGAATGGCTTTCATAATTTTTTTTTTTTTTACCTTTATTTTAGTACTGAGGATTAGGAACCTCTGAGCCATGCCCCTACCCTCATAGGGATTTCTGGCAGAGGATTTCCCACTGAGCTGCAGCCCTACATATATTATCTATTTTGCAGGTTTTGTTCTGTAGACATTGTCAAACGTTCCTTATAAACACTTGGTCTTTTTTCACATTTTGAGAAAACTTAAAGCATACATAAAACTCTAGTATATAGTATAAGAACCCTTAGTGCTCAGTGCTGGAGAGATGGTTTAGCAGATAAGAGCACTGGCTGCTTTTGTGGAGGACCTAGATTTGATTTCCTCCATCCACATGATAGTTCATGGCCATCTGTTAACTCCAGTCCTGACAATATGATGTCCTCTTCCAGCATTCTTACGCACTGTAAGCATGTGGTGCACAGATACATGTAGACAAAACATCCATACACATAAAATTTAAAGAACAAAACAACAAAGAACCCTCATACTCATCACCCGTTAATAGGAAAATAAAGCATAATACTGTTTCCATGACTTTTATGAACTTTTGTTTTTTCCAGTACTGGAACCTTCACAAAGCTATACCAACCAACTTCATATGGACATATTTATATAGACATATCCATGTTTTGTTACGGTTTTGTTTTTAAGATTTAATTTTATGTATGCGAGTATTTTGCATGTGTGTGTGTGTACCACATTGTGTAGTGCCTGCAGAAGTCAGGAAAGGGTGCTGATCCCCTGGAACTGGAGTTGCTAATTGTTCTGAGCCACTGGGTGCTGGGCCCTGAACCCAGGTTCTCTGTAAGAGGAGCAGGTGCCATCTCTCCAGCTTCATACATATCTTGTGTACATTCATAGTGTATATATGTTATGTGTATGCCTTTCTTCAACTTGATCACCCAACTGGACAGCCAGGGCCTAGGTTGAACTCAAGCCTTCAAGAGCACTGGGTGGTCTTAATTGCTGAATTAAGCAATAGTGTTTCTCTGAAACATTAGAATTTTGCCTGCTACTTTGTAAGTCTCAGAGCAATGGGTCTAGACAACAATGGCTTTTTTTTTTTTTTTTTTTTTTTTTTGAGACAGGGTTTCTCTAGCTGTAGCTGTCCTGGAACTAGCTCTTGTAGACCAGGCTGGCCTTGAATTCACAGATATCTGCCTGCCTCTGCCTCCTGAGTGCTAGAATTAAAGGCATGTGCCACCACCAGTCGGCTGGCTTCTCGTTTTACAAAAAGATAACAACAGATTTTTGACAAAGGTGACTCTGTCCTTTGAATCAGCCTCAGAAAATACAAAGCTGAGCAACTGCTTTTCCAGAAGATCTGGTTTTAATTTCTAGCACCTACATGGTGGTTCATCCTCTTCTGGCTTCTGCAAGTACCAGGCACACATAGTGCACAGACATACATGCAAGCAAAACACTCATACACGCTAAAAAATGTTAAGTATAAAGCTGGAGATAGTGAGATCTAGCAGGCAAAGTGCTTGCTTGCTCTGCAAGCACAAGAACCTGTTTTCAGATCCCCAACACCATGTTAAAAGCCAGGTCTAAGCACGGAGAGGGTGGAGACAGGTTCTGGGCCCTGGCTGTCCAGATAGTCCAGTTAAGCTGGTGAGCTCTATAATCAGTGAGAGACTGTCTCACAAAAAGCAGGACAGCTTTACCCAATCCAAAATGGGTAATCACATTGCAGAAATGCATGCATATAACGTATATACACTATAAATGTATATGAATACGTGTGTGGGGCTGGAGAGATGGCTCAGTGCATAAGAGTATCTGATTTTCTTGCAGAGGGTCAGGGTTCAGGGCCCAGCACCCAGCTCACACAACCTTTGGTAATTCCAGTTCCAGGGGATCCAGCACCCTCTCCATTCTTCTACAGGCACTACCCAGTGTGGTGCATAAACACAAATGCAGGCAAAGCAGCCAGGTGGTGGTAGTGCACACCTTTAATCCCAGCACTCAGGAGGCAGAGGCAGGTGGCTCTGAGTTCGAGACCAGCCTGGTCTACAAGAGCTAGTTCTAGGACAGGCTCCAAAGCAACCCAGAGAAACCCTGTCTTTAAAAGAAAAATGCAGGCAAAGCATTTGTACATATGAAATGAAAAGATTTTAAAAACAATATATGGATGTTGAGCACTGATGTGTTCACAACTACCTGTAACTTCAGCTCCAGAGTACATGATACTCTCCTAACCTCCAAGAGTACATGCACACAACTTCAAATCATACAAGTAACTTTAAAAGAAACTCTTCAGTCCTGGAGTGATGGGCCCCTCCTGGCGGGGAAGACAAACTGTGCCTTCAAGAGGTTCTTTTGTAAAAGAAAAGTTATTGAAGGCCACTGGATGGCTGGGTTTGTGTGTGTGTCTTAGAACTAACGTCTCCTTACCATGTGACAGCACCACTAAACCGAAACCCAAGGACGAATCCGAGAAGAGAATCCTAGAGGAGTCAGTTGCAGAGGAGAGAGACCAGGTGGGTCATCCTGTTGACTCTGGACATTTAACTTGGATGTGTTTGTTGGCAAAAGCTGGTCTGTCTAAACATTCCTTGTAGTAGGGGTGCTCGGTGTTTGTGGGACAGGGCTGCTGCTGCAGTGTGCTCTTGTGCTAGCGCCCGGCAGACTGGAGTCCTATAACAGCGGATGCTGTGGCTCTGGTCTAAAGGCATAGGGAGGCAGTTCTATTTTTTTCAATGTTGGATTCAAACCTAGGGCTTCACCCATGTAAGCACTGCACTACTCAGCTACACACAGGATCCCTGTGTTTGATATACACAAATATATTGAGACAGTATTCTATAGCCCAGGGCTTGAACTGTGTGTACTTGAGCCTGGACTTGAAGTCTTGGTCTTCCTGCCTCCACCTCCCAAGTTCTAGGATGACATATTTGCACCACTATCCCAGATGGTTGGGATTTTTATGTGTATGTTTGTGGTTCTTGTGTGTGGGTATGTGCACATGCATGCAGGTGCCCAAGGAGGTGTCCAAGTATCTTAGGAGAGACAGGAAGCAGCCTCTGGGGGTAGAAAAATGCCAGATCACTGGAGCTAGTTCCTGGGGTGGTGAACCACGGACATGGGTCCTGGGAAGTGAATTCTGGTCCTCTGGAAGAACAGAGTGCACTCTTAGTGAGTGAGCCAACTCTCATGCATCCTGCTCTCTTTTGAGACAGGACATCACTGCATAATCCAGGCTACCCTGAAACTAGCTAAGGCTGGCCTTGATCTTATGGTGATTGCCCTGCCTCAACTGCCTGAGTGCTGGGTTATAGGTGTGGGCTAGCATACCTGGCTCTACCCCTCTACCCACTCTGTTTAACTGTGGTTGGGGGTTGATCTGTTTTTGTTGTTTTTGTTTTGTTTTTGTTTTTGTTTTGAGCTGAGGACAGAACCTAGGGCCTTGCACTTGCTAGGCAATCACTCTACCCCTGAGCTGAATCCCCAGCCCCGATCTACTTTTCAAATCAACATTGTCTTAATTTCTATTCTTCCCTCTGCCCAGGATAAGAGACGCAGAGTTACAAGCACAGAGCGGTAAGCATCCTTATAATCTCCTCTTTGATTTGTCTCAGTTATAGAAATTATTTTCTGAAAGCTAGAGTTCTGTAGTAAGTTTCCTTGGCCACTATAATCCTGTTAAGGATGCTGAATTTGGAAACAAAGTATTAATCTTTTAATTCATGTAGAATTCTCCCTCATCCCAGAAGGAGTTGAGGTCTCCTGGTATGAGACCTGAATTGAAAGGTCTCCCTCAGTATTCGATGGTGAAACAACACTTGACTGTCAACTGTCCTGGCGTGGCGATTACTCTTGGTGTAGGAAGCTGGGCTCATGAATCTGCTTCTGGAGACTGAGTTGCTTGGTTCCTGCCTATATAATAGTCTACTTTGCCTGACAGTGGTGCTGGAGTTTCTGTAGTGGAACCGGAAAGTGTAACACCAGGAACCCCCACGAGTCGGGAAAAGCAAGGTGACCAGGTAAAGCCCCTTTACCACCTTCTTTCCCTGAGCATGTCTCTGGTTTCCGGAATGAGGTGGAGTGGGGGAGAGCAACAGTGAATTTCAGCTGATGTAGGAAGCCTTGACTGAGACTCTGTGGAGGTCTCCTTTTTGAGCAATAGGAAATGCTGGAGGTTCCATAGCACCATCCAAATACAAAGCCACCCTCCTGGGCTGGGTCCTGGTTCATTGGCAAGAGTTTTGGCATAGCATGCTTGAGGTTCTGGGTCCATCCTTTGTAGAAGGAGCTGCAGGCAAGCCTGCTTTTCGTCTTGCCCGGCTCCCGCACGGCTAGCTTTACACCCGAAATAATACACAAATTGTATTTTTTTTTTTTTT